TGAGCCTGGGCAGCAGCGCGCCGGTTTGGAGATATGGTGAGCCCTGGCAGCAGCGCCGGTTTGTAGATGTGGTTAGCCTGGCAGCAGCGCCGTATAAGGGGAGATGATGGTAGCCTGGGCACAGCGCCGGTCTGGAGATAATGGTCAGCCTGAGCAGCAGCGCCGATATGAAGATGAGGTGAGCCTGGTCAGCAGTGCCGGTCTGGAGATGATGGGAGCCTGGGCAGCAGCGCCGGTCTGGAGTGGTGGTTAGCCTGGGCAGCGCCGGTCTGGAGATGGTGGTTACCTGGGCAGCAGCGCCGGTCTGGAGATGATGGTGAGCCTGGGCAGCAGCGCCGGTCTGGAGATGTGGTTAGCCCGGGCAGCAGCGCCGGTCTGGAGATGATGGTGAGCCTGGGCAGCAGCGCCGGTCTGGAAATGGTGGTTAGCCTGGGCAGCAGCGCCGGTCTGGAGATGGTGGTTAGCCTGATGCGTGCAGGAGCAGCGAGCGGACCCGTGGCACTGTCAGGATTGAGGCGACTGGTGACGCTACTATTGAGGAGAACCCCACCACACATTCGGCGTCAGTGTGGTGATGAAGAATTGGTGCGGTGCGTGCAAGACTTCGTGTGCATTGTCAATAGTCAGAAGTGTTGTTTCCTACTCAGTTGGAAGGGAAAGAGCGCTTTAACGCCCAACTTGGCCTGCAGTACTTAAACTTTGAAAAAAGGGTGCCAAATTCGGGGAGAAAGTTGCTTGTTGGCATAATTTTAGGGTGAGGTTCCGCAATTTTTCACTGTCTAGCCCCCATCCCGTGAAATAACTTCGTGAAACTACACCCCTGCGTCACTGTAGAGACGGCACGCAGGGGACCTGTCCTGTGTAATTTGGAGAGAAAAAAATGAGTGTCCCGACTTCAGGCTAGAAGAGCATGAAGCAAGTTTCCGTGATACATCTCGTTTGTCAACTTTCCTCAAGCTACAGCACGGAGCCGATCTTTGGACACGATTATGTGGTGGAAGTGCTGGTATAATGGACATTCCTGTGTCCATGACATTTGCAGGCCATCATTCAAGGACGGAACGGCGTCAAATCACTATAAACGTCACGCCAAACTAGCCCACAGAAGCCGACTAGGGCGAGAAAGCCGGTGCCAGTCCTCATTTGATTAAAAGCCACCATTCAATTCTCGCAGTGATGTTGTTTTCCGACCCAGACGAGCGACAACATTGGGACGGCGCCTAGACTCTCACTAAGCCTTCTGTCAGGAGAGATAGTCGGGATGAAGTGATCGGCGATATGCTACTAACCCGTGGTCGTGAAATCATGATCACACTCTTTAAAGAAAAACCGGTGCATCATGAGCCGTAAAATGACCGGCATGCGACAGTCAAGAGGAAGTGCTGTTCAAGTCAAGTAAGAGGTAGGTCAAGGGCATAAGGCAATGTCATATCAGGTCTAACCTTGAAAAACCTTCAAAGCCATGTTAGCGGGCTGTGTGTAGTTACCAAAAACGTCATCGTGCATGCATATCTTGAGCGCAAGGCGACCCAAGGTCAAGTTCATGTGGTGAAATGACCTTAGGTGACCTCACACTCTGGGGCATAGCATCGCGAGTTGAGTTAGGGGGTTGAGCCGTAAAAATGACAAAATCTGCCCCATAATTCGACAAAAAACGGGGTTCTCTGCTGACTTCGCCCACTTTTCTCCCAAAGTTGGGGGATGTAGGACAGTTTTGGGGAAACTACCTCCTCCTAATTGAATAGGAAGCTTCACCTCCGCTTACTTTACTCACTGAAAATAAATGACGGCACGTGTTGGACTTGCATGCGCTTTACTCTGTGCTTATAGCAAATGCGGAGAGCAACGGAATAACGTGATTTTACTTCGTTAGACAGGGCATGTCAACCGTAGCTGGTGCGAACTAAAATCCTTCTGGATAACTAGAAACCAACGTCTCATTACAAGTTGTAAGAGCGCGCCCGTGACGTCTTTTAATTTGGTTCTTGCACAACAGATGTGAAATGAGCAAATGTTCGTGCTCACCAACACCCGTGTGATAAAAGGTGGCGAAACGAGGAAGGTGGCTAGGTTTAATGCACAACGCTTTACTGGCCTCCCACAGAACCTCAGTGTTTGAGCGCAGTGCAACCGATATGTCCGCTGCACCAGCTATACCCTGAACCCCGCCTGCCGCAGTCCCCAGCAGCCGATCCAGCGTCTGGGCGCCATCAGTCGAGCGGAACGCCCCGCGCCGATCCGCTTCGTTTACATCAGACAACTTCGAACCAGCGTACGAAAAACTTGCCCCGGCCGCGGCGCCGCGTCGCCTGGCGCTGGCCGCGGCCGCGCTGAGTCAGCGGTCGGCCGGCCGGCGCCTGCCTGACCGGTCACAGTCCGGCCGGCCGGGCGTCGGACGCCGGTCACAGTCCACCCCGAGCTCGGCAGGGGCTGCTGGCGCCGGCCGCGCGCGCGCGCGCGCTTCTCCACACCAAACGCGCCGTCCCGTACAGACACCGGCCGGCAAAAACGCGCGTCGCGAGTAAATAACGCCGCGCCGGCCGTAATCCGGTAAAAAGCGGCGCCAGGACCGGGCCGGCGGGGCGGTTTTTATGGCGGCGCGGCCCGTCGCCTGTCGCGGCACCCCTCGCTGGCGCACGCCGCCTCTGCTGGCCACCATTCGGCGGCCCGCCGACCGGGTGGTAATTAATTTCGCCTCGGCTGCGCCCCGTCTAATCGGCGCGGCTCATTTGGGACAAAAAGCGACGGTCACGCCGCACGCTGTAAGGGCGAGTGCGCCACGGCGGATTACAGGTGCAGAAAAACGGGAGATGCCTTGCCTCGCTTTGTGGGCTGATGTAGAAATTCGTGAGAAATGTGTGTCTGTCATCGGTCGGCGCATGCCCCTTCATCACGAGGGTGACCCGGTCCTGACATTCCCCAGCGCTGGGCACGACCGAAATCAACCAGATTTACAACCCGCCTGCGTCCAGACCAGACAGCGGCCAACTCAAGAGGTCAAAAACCTTTTTTGTCGTGATACAAGTGATCAATGATGAAATCTTTCACTGCTCGCCAAAAATATAGGCCCAGTGGCAGCAGAAAAAGGGGCGTTCCGAAGCATGGCTGATTTACTTGGTGTTGTAGCCAAGCCTTGGGAACAGTGTGGGCTGGGTTCTAAGAGCTGATTAAGGAGCAAAAGCCAGTCTGTTCGATTTAAACCTTGCAGCACAGGTAACACCATGACTTTGGCTTTTATTGTGTTTTTCATGGTTAATTATATGTGTGTCATGAGACAGGAGCGCATCCACCTGAGGACATTTTTGCCAGCTATTGAAAGATGGGTCAAATCAACCAACTAAGAGCCAGTTTAAATACCCAACCACCCTGGCTTTGAACGAAGTTTTGTAAACAGGGTTTTGTTTTGCACTCAACACGATTTACAGATACTTAGAGCGGTTGGAGCTACCAGTTTCAAGTTACAGACGTTCCTCATTTTTTATGTTTTGAAAAAGGATATTCTAAACACGCATCCGGGTGGCTGGTTGAGTACCCTTCGCTCGGGTGGGTGTCAGTTTGACACCCTGAGATCTCGGAAAATAAGACAGCTTAAAACACCAAATTCACGGGTGGATGGGCTGTATGTGAATTCACTGAGATCAAAATCTAAGGTTCCTAGGTCATGACCTTGGGTTCAAATAAGGTCAAGCAAGGTCAAACTACAAACTGGCGTCCAAAGTGCCACCAGACCTCACACAACCGCCGTGAATTTAGATGCCTGTTCTAAGCAAAAGATCAATGGTGTTTATTCAAGGTCAGCTACCTTGTTTGACCTTTAAATGGTCAGCGTAACCAAAAAGATACGATATCGCTGTTATTCTTTCATTCAAATAAGCGTCAAGAATCACGCTGTATGGTATATTACTAAAACCAAGATGCTGACCTGGATCATTTTAGGTCAGCGACCTAATCTGACCTTTCATAATTCATGAAACATGTTTCTTGTGGTCCTGTCATCAAAAAATTCGAAATGGGCACAAAAAAACTGCACCGTAAAGCAAACTCTTCAGTAAAAAAGCACATTGGTTTTGACTTCGGTCTGACCCTCATACCCGAACCTAGGTCAATGGACTTCGTTGTAGTTCTAAATTCAGTTGGTGTATTGCCTGAGACACTATCTGAGAGGCGTGTGACTTCGTCCGACACTCCGTTGTTCCGTTAGATTGAACGAATCCCCAGAAATGACCTTCGCTGACAGCCAAGGTCTGACTGTGGCCTTCCATGACTCAACGACCTTACAACGTACATCTAATTGTTACACCAAATGGTTTGCTATTCCATTGCCTAGTCAAACAAAGTTTGCCGCGGCTACGCCACGCTGTTCGGAAATCATTCTGGGAAAAACCTTCGGGGGTCAGATTGACCCTCCACCCGAGTGCGTGCGGTGGGATCTAGGAAAGCGCTGAAGTGTTTGACAGGGTTTTGTCAACAGACGTAAGAGGGTTGTTTAACGTGCCACAATTGTCAACGGCCGACGCGTTTGCATTGGGCTTGAGCTGTGTGCGCGCGACGTCTTTCACCTCCATGTGAAATACGCAGCGATAATTCTGGCGCGCTATACAAACAAGCTTAACACTATTAGCAAAAGTTGCAATCAATAAAACATCGAGTCCA